GTCATGTAGACCCAGCACTTTTTCCTGCCTATCCAGGGGGTCGGACTCGATGATCTACTGAGGTCCCTTCCGACCTTAGCATCTATGAATCTATGAACACAGCTCACAAAGACACTCTCATGGACCCAGAGTAACAGACTTCCATCTTCAGCTCCCTCTGTGCAAAAATGAAGTTTATTTCCTACCTATGGGGATTTTTTACCATCTTGTACCATCTACACTTTTCCCAGAGCCTGACAAAGGGACTTTGATCCCAAAAGCGTGCAGAAAATGACAATTTTCTTGCCATTTTCCAGTTGGTCTAATAAAAGGTATCATTATGGCACCAAGAGTTCTAGTTTTTTGTATAATACATGTATATACACAGCAAATCTTTTCACCTTGCACATAATAGGAAATTTTTTGTTTCTGATAAAATACACTGACCCCAAGAAACAGTCACAGAAAAAAATAGAACTATAAATAAGAATTGCTAAATAAAAAAGGACATGACCTTGGAAAGCTAGAGATTTCACTGAAAAAATAATTCAGGTTATTTTTGAAGTAGTTTAAACTTGAGAAAAAGGGGCTACATAAATGGTGCGAGACTGGGTAGTCCCCCCTGCCCTAAAATACTCTCACATCAGAATGGCCAAACAGCACATCCAGCCAACATGGTGACCCACTAAAATAGTGAGGATTTGGCCAGCCCAAACTTCTCCCCATTTCTAGTGTATCCCTCGCAATGGTCTCAACTACAGTTCATCATCTAAACAAATATATTCAAGATAATAGTAATTATATTTGCAGTGCCTTCCATGACAGGACCTGAAATACTCATGAAATGTGAGTGAATAAGCTTAGCACCTTAATAGACGGGGAAAGTAAGGCAGTGAGGTATATGCTTAATATCGTTCAAATGGGGGTAAGAGTTTAATGCCATATTATAGTCCCAAAATATAATCCCCAATTGGTTTAATTTTCAAAGATGAAGAACATTAAAACCTCCCACTTGCATGATCTGGAGCAACAGGTGCTTGGCACCTGTGGGGGGGGGGGGAAAAAAAAAAAAAAAAAAATCAAGGTTTTTACACAGGGGAATTTTGGTAGACACCAAGATTAAAAGTGTTGACCTAAAATGTTGGCCCACAGCTGCACTAAAAGATGAACAAAGTTGGGAACAGAACTGAGGTCAACATATGCTTGTATATAATGCACTGGACTAATATATACTTCTTCAGCTAGATGTTCCCTGTTCAGGTGGAAAGGCGTATCTGGTTCCTTCAGACTAAAGGCTGTGGGCAAGACACAGCATTACAGAGGTTAGCATTCACTGGGCCCAGCAAGTCACCAGAAAAAGACAGTGAAAAAGAAAAGGCAGGTGAGGGAAGGGGGTGGGGGAGAAAAATAGTGCTGTTACATAAAACACATGTTTCTGTACTTAAGAGCTGATATCAGGATAGAGGCAAGCATAAAGCAAGCAAGAAAATTATAAAGCAGATATCCCAAGAATCAAATGCACAAAGTAGGCACCAGAGGCAACTACAGCCCTGCCTGACAGTCTGTGCCACAATCAAAAGAGCAAGCATAATTTAAGATCTCAAAGATTAGCTTGTGAAGTAAAGATGAATCTTGAAAGGGGATATCCAGGCAGCACGTGTTAGAAGGTTTTTGCTCCTTTATGTAAACTGTAGGCTCACACACCCTGGTATCACTGACACCCCCTCTCCACCTTATGTGATTTGCATACAGGAGCATTCCCCAGAAATGTGAAAGGCAATTATAGAAATATAAAGAATTCTAGCAGTGGCTATGTACAGACGTACACTTGTAGGGTTACAGAGCACGTCAGCGCTTTGTAGTGACACAGAAGCAGAGTGCTATGGCGGGGGATAATAATATTCCAGTATCCTGGCTGGAGAGTTACAAAGTTGTTTCAAAGGCACACTCTCCAACCAGGAACCTACTCCCTGGGGGCACCTTCCCCTGCCCTCCCAGCAGGAGAGCCCAGTCACCGACAGCCTACCCTCTCCCCCGTCAGTGATCAGCTGGCTTCTCAGCAGCAGTCTACAACAGTCCCCAAGCCCCACCAACATTGCCTGTGTTAGTGGCGTGGATGAGAAGAACTCTTCTCACGCCTGCTGCCCACAGCAGTGCTGCTGGCACTGTGAAACTGCTGGTTCTTCCCGGGGTTTGTCAGAGCCGGGACTCTGGCAACGCTGCTGGAGTATGTACCAATACTGCCAGATCCCAGCCATGACAGTGGTGGCATGTTCCTGCAGCAAGACCTGGTACTTTGGAAACTGTGGTAGTGTTCCAATAAGGCTCCCTGATAGCTTGCCAGCTGGGTGGGCTATGAGGGAGACAGCTGTTCTCTATCCCTCTCCCCCTTTTGAAGATGGTAGAAGGGAAGGAGAGTGGAGGACTATGGAATGCTGGGGATCTGAGGGACCCAGTGCAGCACTATTTTTGCAGTGGACTTACCATTTTTGCAGCACTACAAAATGTAATGTCTGGCCATAACCAGTATCAAACAAAGTCAAAGTGAAAGAACAGTAGGAATTAACAGCAAAAAAGGGGGAAATGTAACTAAAAAACTTAACTATAATACTAAAAATAGCAAAAAAAAAAAAAAAAAAAAATCACAGAATTTTTTGTTCCTTGACCCCAGAATACAATTGCAGAATACAATTGCAGAAATATTGACCTCTAGTGGCAAAGCAGAAACACTAAGTGGGCACAAGGTTACTTAAATGAGTTGTTCTCAAGTATCTGGGAGGACACAACCCCTTTAAGCTTGTTTTACTCCTTTTACTTTCCTGTCCCTTCTGCTTACCTCTTTTAGAAGTCTGCCATATACGTCAGATTGAGAAACACTAGAATACATGCACTTTAAAAACTAGTATTCCCTTTAATTAAGACTTTGGAGGCCCTTCCTTCCCTATATTAAAAAAAATTTTTAAAAATCACTGGAATAATTTGCAGAGTGTAAAGAAAAGACTAACATTATACCATTAGTATTGTTTTAGCCTAATTACTTAGGACTTCAGTGATCAAGCCCATAAATGTATAAAAACAACTTTGTAACTGCTTAGCTATGTGTTTCCTTACTTTTATGTGCCAAAATACTGTGGATCTGCCTTGTTTCGTTTCTGCTGAAAGGAAGATGCTTGAATCATCCTTGTAAAAAAGAACTTAACCTAATCATTGTGTTTTCATTCCTTCTAAACAATATCTTCAAGTTAAAGTCGATTGGGTCAAATCCTGTCTGAAGCCTATAAATTATTCAGGGTAGTAAAGGGACCAGAATTTAGCCTTCAGTAGTATATGAATGTAACAACTGTTACCTTTTCAATGATCTCATAGCACTCCTCCAACTTCTGGGCTCTGTCTTTCAGAATAGTACTGGTTTCATTGTAGACATCTAACCACTCTCCGTAAGAATTTTCTGACAGGTCTGCATAGGCAATGCACAGAGTCCTCAAACCTACAAACAGAATATAGGCAATGCATATGATGCACTAGTGACAGGAAAGATCAAATCATTGCAATCCAGATTCTGATCATGTATTCATGGGTAAACCTGAAGAAATTCTCTTAACTACACTGAATTTGCCCCTTCATAGTTGAGATCGGAAGGCACTCTGATAGGCACATTTTTTTCCTAATTTTAACTACTGCAATCTAGCTATACTAGAACAACAAAAATACCAGCTTACATCTAATTATCCATTTGAGGCTGAAAACAAGTTTTTATTTAAATGTTATTTAAAAATCACATAACCCCTGTATGAGCACATTATACATTATTATAATACAACAGCAAACATGTTAAGCTCCTAAACTGAACATACTATTCTGCCTAGTATTTATTTTCAGAAATAGAATACACTCT